CACAACAGACAAAACGTACCGCAGTCGCAGTCTTCCTGGCGGCCTTGGTGGCCAACTGCTTACGAGGGGCCTTTCCTGTATACAAATATTGTTTAGAAATTTACCCTTTGCCCATCGATGGGGCCCTCGATGTTGAACTGACCTCCGGTGGACTTGCGGGCAGTTTGCTGTCGACGACGATAACGATCAGTACGGTGCTCGACGGCGAAGAAACTGTGTGAATATACCTTGGTACGGGCCATGGCTATTCAGTGATATGTTCGAGGAAGGCGAAGAGTGTCTTGAGGAGCGATCAACGGCGAAGGAAGCGTCGAGAGGGGCGGGGGCGGTGAGTGCTGACGACGAAGGGCGGGTGGGGGCCTCGATGCGACTCTTCCCTCCTTGTTGAAGGTCCGATGGCCCCTTTCCCACGGGCGAATGTTCCAGCTTGCTGCGTGAACCTTGTCAGTCGACGCGCGACGCTTTCCTGAACTTCAGCCACAGAACTTCCGCTCAACCGTATGCCTCGAACATCGGCCGCATCCTCTCCCATTCAGCCTGTATTTGTATACGGAACGCTCATGGCTGCTCCTGTCATGGCTTGGGTTTTGAAAGGAGATGCTGAACGAGCTCCGGAAGTGCTCGAACAGCGGAAACCCGGTCGGATACATGGTTATAGGCGCTTCAGTCTCGATGGCTGCGATTTTCCCGCTCTTCGGCCAGGCGATGGTTCTGTCGATGGTTATGTGATCTTTCCAAAGGACAGCATCGAATTGGCGAGGCTGGACACGTTTGAAGGCCCGTCATATGAGCGAACCACGGTCAAAGTACATCTTGCGGACGACAGCACTGTCGACGCCACTGTGTACCTCTGGAGGGGTGACGAGCAATTATTGTGCGACTCGGACTGGGACTTTGAAGCCTTCATGGGAGAGAAACTTGCGGACTGGCTCGAAGTATACCAAGGCATGACACTGACCATGTAATATGGACAAACCTACATCATGTTCGCCGCTCACGCATACCTGCTTTACTGTCATTTCTCGACGTATCCGGCTTCATTATACCTATACGGTGAGGTGCTGTATACGTAGACTACCTGTGTGTACACAGCTTCCGAGGGCGTTATTGTGGAATGCCATCGTATGCGGGACCGCAGTTTGTTGTTCTCGAGACATTAATTCTGTGTTACTTCGTGTGACATCAAAACCTGAGAAGTTTCACCGGAACACTCTGATAAAAGTAGTCCAACCTCACACATAGGATCGCTATACATGTGCCTGTTCACACAGGTTTGCTCCGGACCATCCATGAAATGTATGACATACGGATGTTATCGATGCACCAGGCTCGGGGCGCTGGTCTGCTGCGACGCGTCTTCCGTCGCGTCCGCTCGGGCGTTTCGGCAACGTTCCCACGACTGCTATAACTCACATCTTTCTTGACATTCATCCATCCTCACAATGTCCGAGACTACTAAGGGTGCAAGCAACAGTACGTTCTACATTGAAAACTGACGGATCTATCGCACACCGAGAATAATTTACCCATCGTGCAGATGAACGCCTCCTCGCCGCGGCGCGCGGGGACGATGAGGATATGCTCCTCGAGATCTTCGAGCAGGGCGATTTCGACATCAATTTCCAAGATGGGTGTGTACCAGCTTATCCTGTCCCAGGATTCCGTCTGAACCTTCTCCGATACTAGTCTAGGGAACACCGGTAGATATCCACGCGTCATCGTTGCTGATCACCGTGTCTGACGGACTGGACGTCTGGCAGCGCTGCACTACGCGTAAGCACGCTGCTGCTACGTGTCATATTGCCCTTATACATTTTCCACTGCTGGGACAGTGCCTCACATGGTTCCTTGTCTGCGCTCGAGCACATCCTCTCGCAGGACAACTGCGACGTCGACCCGGTCAACCGTATCGAGAAGGCGACCCCTCTCCACCTCGCGGTCAAGCTTGACGACCCGGAGCTCAGGCAACAAGTGGTAGAGAGCCTGTTGGATGCGGGAGCTGACACAACGTACGTAGACGTAGACGTGCTCGTGGGAGGCAGTGTGCTGATGCGCCGTTTATCTCAGAGTCAAGGACAAGTACGGAGAGACACCGATGGACATTGTCTCTCCAAGTGACAAAGAGATCTTAGCATTGATGAGGAAATCACGGGCGGAGGCTAGTGTCTCCAGGGATGACATTGCAAGTGGTATGTCGTCTCGATATGGTGCTACTTCTTGTCACTGATGAAATCTGCAATGTAGACGATGATGGCGAGCCTGGCTCAGGTTCCGGTTCAGGTTCAGAGGATGAGGATTAAGATAACATAGAAGAAACGAAGCACGGACAAGAGGAATCTCTAAGAAGGGCAGGACGAATCATCTAATGACGCACCATTGTAAGTGCTCATAGGCAAGGCAGCGAAGACTGGGGCTATCTTAGTAGCAGTGTTCTTTATCACAACACAGGATACAGTGCCAGAGATAGATATATTATATCCACTTTCCACTCGACCACTCCTGGAATGTCTGCGTTGACTTGAGCCACTGCACGAGCCCGTCGCGCTTCACCTTCACGCCCTTATCGGCGGACTCGACCTTCTGCTTCTTGCCGTCCACCAGCTCCCACTTCTGCTCCTTGACGGTGACGAGACCCTGCTTGAGCTCATCACCACCCAAGATGATGGCGAACGGCACTTCATCCCGCTCGCCTGCGGCGAATTGAGCGGGCAACTTGGGCTTGTTCTTGAAGAGGAAGTCCGTCTGAAACGAAGATCAGCATATCTGCCACTTTGAGAACAAACTCAACGTTACCTTGATACCAGATTCTCTCAGCTCCGCAACAAGTTCGACACGCTCCTGCAGCAACCCATCACCCGCCGCCATGACATACGCCATCGTTTCCTTACTGCGCATACCCTTCGCGACCCACTTCGGCCACACGATCGCGAAGATACGGTCAAGCCCAATGCTGACGCCGATGCACGGCAGTCCCGGTGCTTTCTTGCCGTCGCCAGCAGCAGCGGCAGTGAACATGCCCACGAGATTATCGTACCGGCCACCGGCCGCGATCGACCCGACGCCGACCTGGGATTCATCAATCTCCTCTTCGTCGCCGTCCTTTTCAGCAGCCTTCTTTGCCTTCTTCTTGGACGGCGCAGGCGCAGCGGCGGAGTTGCCAGTGGAGGGTGTGGAAGACGACGAGGCGAACGCATTAGCGGACTTGAAGCCCGGCGGGGCAGACGCCTCGACGATGGCCTCATAAATGATGCCGGTATAGTAGTCGAGTCCTCGTGCGAGCGACATGTCAAACGAGATCTGGGCCGCGTGTGAGAATGTGTAGGGCAACGGAGCATAATCACATACCTTGTCGATCACTTTGTACGACTTGAGGAAGGTGAACAGGATGTCCATCTCCTCGATACCGTGCTTTGCGCTTGCGTTGCCCATCAGCGATGCATCGGCTTTGAGCTGCTCAAGTAGCTCCGGTCCACCTATGTTCTTTAGCATGTGCATCGCTGAATTGGAGTCTCAGCATACCTTTGTGCTTCACGTATTCACCGATCCTGTCCGCGACAGCGGGATCAAGACCCTTTTCTTCCATCATTTCCTTCTTCACGTCTGCCCAGGACATCTATCGATAGGTTTGTCAGTATGTCGCATTTCTAGAGAATTTGATCAACACACCTTGTCCAGCTTGTCCACTGCAGAAGAGATAGTGCGGATCTTCTCTGGCGGAACGCCGCACACCTCGAAGATACCATCCAGAATCTTGCGGTGGTTCATCTGCGAAGAACTCGTGGATTAGGGAAGATTGTTCGAAGTATATTGCATACCTTCACGATGAACTCCCCAACATCTAGTCGGTTGAGCACTGTGCAGAGCAAACTGATGAGCTCCGCATCGGGGATCATGGGGTCCCAGACACCAGAGATGTCGAAGTCCTGTGTGGATGATATCAACGGACATTCTCCAATTAAGATATGGCGGAACTCACAGCTTGAGAGAACTCCCGCATACGGCCCTTCGACATCACCGGGTTGTCTCGCCTGTACACTTTGCCAACCTGCCAGAGCTTGGCCTGTGTGTTTATCGCGCCGTTCATCGCGAGGTAACGCGAAAGGGGGACAGTGTGATCATATCTCAGAGCAAGCTCCTCTCCACCCTGGTCCTTGAGGTCGAAGATGAGTTTTGCATCCTCGCCGTACTTGCCAGCTAAGATGTCTTTCCGCTCAAAGACGGGTGTATCCAGACACGCTCCGCCAAATGTCGTAAAGCATTCCTTGACTACCCGCTCAATGTGCTCGCGGCAGAACATCTCGCCCGGGCCATAGTCGCGAGTTCCCTATGCACGCGCGGAACCTTGGATGAGTCTAAGCGCAAGGTGCTGAGAGATGCGCACTTACGCACCTTCGGTGTCTTCAGGAGCAATCGCTCTCCCTTCTTTTTCGCATCCTTGGATCCACCACCCTGCAGCATCGCCAAAGCTCTCTTGAGCTCGCCAACTTTCTTCCTGTGCTCCTCGATCAGGGCACTGTCGGCTTGTTGTTTTCGGAGGTCATTGATGAGGTTGTTTTGTGCCGCGATCTCGGCCTGAAGTGTCTCCTGTGTCTCTGTCGCCATGCCTCTAGTGAACCTTCTACAGCGTAGAGGAGCGAGGTTGAATCGATGAGCGGCAGGTCTCAGAGACTGTTTTAGCTGAACCAGCATTCAAGAGCCACCAAGATTTCCTGCGCGTGACTGACTCGATCTCCGTATCTCAGATCTTATCGCACAAGACAGACCCCGAACACTCTCGATGATCCTTTGCAAGGTTTCGTAAGAATCCGTCGCAGTAATCAATGCAGCATCCAGTGGATCCGATCATTCGCAGCACCATTAAGTCTCCAGAACATGAATATATCAGATGGTTCGGAGTCTAAGAGCCAATGATGCATTACTTCCGAGATTTATGAGAGTAAATGACATACTGTAACGGGATGTTGTGGAATCTGGAGGTCGCTGTCTTAGTGATCTACACGGGCGAGATGGCCGAGCGGTCTAAGGCGCCAGACTAAGGCATTTCATTCTTAGGGATGGTCCGCAATCTGGTCCGAAAGGGCGTGGGTTCGAATCCCACTCTCGTCATGTAGTTTTGCATTGTTGCATATGCAACACCTTATTTTTGCTCAGCCCATTTGATGTCATACATACAAGCTTTTGGGTGTGCTATATGCCTAGCTAGATGGCAAGAATTGCAATGATCACCCAGTGCCATGTAAAGATACATATCCAAATTATCCACTGTAATGTGAAGAGTCTCAAACGCTATGCAACGGTCTATGTGAAGGTTGTTGCTAGAAGACAATCATCTATGCGTCGTTTCCTTCCCCGAACATGATCCTCAGATTCTCTACGCTCTCTGGATCAGTACTGGAACCTTTGCCACGGAATGCCTCCTTCACAATCGCCGTCTTGCGTCTCTGTATCTGAAGAATGCGGCCCTCGATGGTGCCGGAGATCTGTCACCCAAGCCTTGAGTAGGTTCTACACGGCCATGCTTCATAAAACTTACGATGAACTGTTTAACGTAGACTGTTCTTTCTTGTCCTATGCGGTGGACCCGGTCGACAGCTAAAGACGAGAAAGTCATACATTATGGTCTTGTGAACAATCCAAATATCTCACCTTGGTTTTCTGTTGCAGCATTCCACCAGCAGTCCATCTAGGAGAGCCGTCAGTATTGGATTCACGCAGTTGTTCAAAGTTGTTTACCATAAAGACGTGATTTGCATTTGTAAGCTGCTCGTCATTAGCCTTAGGCGCACTGCAAACGGTGCACGAAGTCACGTACATTCAGGCCAACACCCCCTGCTTTCAAGCTGATTATCAATACCTTCGGTTCTCTTGACGACGACTTGAACTCAGCGATCGCCTCGTTCCGTTTCTTGAGATCCATAGACCCATCAAACCTGTACCACATCAGTCGTTCTCGCTCGAGGGCGGTTTGAATGAGGTCGAGGAAGGTCGTAAATTGAGAGAACACAACCGCGCGGAAGCAAGGATCCTGGTCTCTAAGTCGTCCTAATGCCAGTTTCAGAACATCCTGTAAACTAGCTCCAGCAAAACTTACTCAAGTTCTGAAGTAATGCGTCGAGTTTCGTAGATGAGCGGAAGTCATTGCGCCTTAGCGCGAAAGTCGGTGTGGGCCCCTGTGTGGATTCGTCTGCCTTCGCATCTTTATCGCGAACGACCTCCAGCAGGTCACTTTCCTGCAATAATCATGAGTTGATAGCCGTTGTCATCTAGAGTGCACACCTCACTTTGACTGGCCCTCTGGAGCACGTGGGGCAACGGCCCTCCTCTCCTTTGTCTCGACACGTCTCGATGAATGCCACGATGCAGTCTTTGCAACTAGGTATTTCACGATAAGCATCTTCTCTGGTCAAAAGCGAACTGCCTACCTCTTGTGTGCGCATTGTGGGATGAGCATAGGCTCTGACATCACATCGAAACATATCGGACATTCCGTCTCGTCGTCGTCTCCGAGATTCGCTAATACCTGCTCAGCGAATTTGTTGGCATCGCCGTTTGTTCCCTCCCCCTTGCTGAAACGTTCAATGAGATCGTTGACATCGATCAGACCCACACTCGGTTCCCTTGAGCCACCGTCGTCGCGCGACATAACCAAGTTGGGATGAAGGACTGCTCGTCGCAGTCTACGAGGAATCAGTGGACTGTACTGTTGTTCCATGACCAGCCATCCCACTTGCCTCATTAGCATGGCTAGAATGTGTGTGTAGTTGCGGCCAACGAGACCCTTCTCGTTCAGTTGATCGAAGTCCCTCTTCGCATTTGTGTACAATGAGTCGTAGATCTTCCGTTCGAGAGGCGAGAACTCGAGTTTCTCAACTGTCACCTGGAGTCATCTATGCATCAGACGGAAGTACCAACGTACGAAAGAGGCGCACACCTCCTTTGGAGGCAGCTCCACTATCCGCCGACCGTCGGTATCACGCATATTCTTCTCGCGCCGCAGGAGAATACTCTCCAAGATAATTTGGACAGCCTCAACTGCCTTAGGGTCTCGGGCAAGGAAGGGTGCAGTAATAAAGCTGCACGAAACAAGTCAATTCGTCTCGCAAAAAGGAATAGGAAACTACAAACGATCGGAAGAAAGTGTAGTTTGACCACGGCGAGAAATCGAGAAATTTTCTGTTGCATGCGTGAGGCAACCAGACACAAGCGGGATGATAAGGATACTCACAGGAGTGAATATAGATCCTCCAGGCGGTTGACGATAGGCGTCCCTATCAATTCGTCAACATGGTCAGACAGATTCGAGGCAATCAAAAATTACCTGTGACCGCCCAGCGTCGTCTTGCACTAAGTGAGTACACCGCACGCGCCGTTTTGCTCATCCGAGATTTGCAATGGTGCGCCTCATCCAGTATGACCCCTTGTGCATTTTCAGGTCCGCCTCTCATAGAAAACGACTTGTAGGAAGTACTCACGTAGCCACTCCGCTACATGGTACTAGTCAGCCAACTCGGGTATTCACTGAGATGGCGGTGGCTCACTTTCAAAGACAGGCGACGCACTCGTCCGTTCTGACTTCGCGTGTTCCGAAACGAGCGTACCATATGAAGTAATGACGACATCGACAGCATTGTCGCCTTCGAGAGCTGCCTCCAAGTCCCGTCTGTTCTGGCCGTGCCATACGAGGACCTTCAAGGTGCCTGATGTACTTGATCGCTGCAGCTCCTCGGACCATTGGGAAAGTAGTGACGTCGGGGCGACGATCAATGTTGCAGCCGGGCCTTTTGTTTGCCGAGGTTGCTTCCTGGAAGACGAACGGAACGCACTGTTGAGCTTTAATTGCCGGGGTTTAGATCGACCATTATTGTCTCCTTCCTGGCTCGGTTCTTCAGGACTTCGCGCAGTTTGAATTAGGGCAGACAGCATGATAGTCTTGCCCATGCCCACTATCGTATACTAAGTATGGCGAAAGAGGTAGGGTATGAATGACGTACTTTCTGCGCAACGGCGATGACATAGTGTGTACATCAGTGGTAGTAGACGATTTATGGCACGAAAGAATACCATCTCTGTTAGTGTCATATATGAGACTGCTGTTTTCCATAGATATCAGAGGACTCACGCTAGAATCCCTCCTCTTGTGGTCCTCACGGCTTTCGGGAAGTCGAGGCTGAGCTCGCCAGAATACTCATTAAAGTAGAATGGCATATCATCTGACGTTAGATCAATGACCCCTTGATCGGGTTCAGCAGGGAAGACGTATCTGAAGCCCCGATAAGACAACGATATTACAGATTAACAAGGTCTCTCACTCCTTCCATAGGGGATGCATGGAGCGCTCTTCGCGAGCGGACGCAGCGCCCGTTTCAATAGAATACATCCATCTGATGAGTTTCCGGTGAACGTTCAGAAGCATGATGCAGAAGCGGGACATACAATAGTGCTTGCTTCTGATATCCTCTCAGAGTCAGCGTGAACGTTTCAGCTGGCTCCATTTCACCAAGACTCTGATCATTCTGTTGTGCTCTGGGGGAGATGAGCAAGGTATCTGGTGTCTATGAGAACATGCATATACTTCTTGTAGATGAGACTGAGTTGATTCTCCGACAGCTCATCATCTGCGCCTTCGACCTCAATCTCCTCGCCGTCTCCAACAATTTCGGTCTTAACAGCACTCTTTCGCTTTGGCATACCAGGCCGCTGGGCGAGCAACTCTAGATCCTTCTGATCTAGATTGCCGCGGTCCTTTGGGGCAAAACTCGTTCCCTGATTAGGCTTGAGGCCAAGAACCTTGAAAAGATGGAGCAATGAGCTTTTGCGCTCACGCAGCATTTGTTCGGCCTCCGTTTCTTGCCCTTCGTCGAACATGGAAGCAGGCTTCTCGGCAGCTGTTATACTTGGAAGCTGGAAGGCGGATGCTTTGATGTAGATTGAAAGCGAGACTATGATATCGGCTCCCGAGTGAAGTGTGTTGGAGCACTCTATCACCGTGCTACCCCTGAAATCAACGATATCTGGAAAGCATCGTCAGGCAAGAGCAGTTGCGATGCCAACTGACAAACCTAGGTCTATGAGCTTTGAAACCCAGCTAGCAACGTCCTGGGGTAGACGGCCGAATTCTATTGAATTTCAGCAATGATCGTTGTTTGTTGGAATAACACAAGCATACCGAATCCCCTTTTGTTCGTAAGTCGGACAACGGTGTCTTCCTTCTTCTTTGTGATCTTCTGGGCCTGGGGCTTCAGCATAGTCGCAATGGAGAGCTGCTTCTTGCCACCGTTGGCCTTCTTTTGGGCTGGTACCTTGGGCTTCTTTGCAGTGGGTGCCTCGGGTTGGTCTCGCTCAACGAGAATCTCGTCTCCGGGTTTCACGTAGCCTGAGCCACGTACAGTACTCCAAGCATTGCCGACAAGAAAGGATCCCAGATACTTTGACGTGAAACGCGCTTTGAAGGGCAAATTTGGAGACAGACGTCGCTTCTTCGCAGGAGGCTCATCAGAATGAGCTGAAGATACGGGTGATGAGCTCCGCGGCGCGGGGTGGGACGAAGCGCTGGATACGCTGGAAGCCCTGGGTATCTCTTCGTGCATTGGTATATCGATTTCATCGCTGAGGTAGTGAGGCGAGTCCTCTATATCCATTGTGGGCAGTCCAATTGAGACTGGACGCGCTTCATCGACAGGTTCGTCATCACTGTCTGCGAAGAAGAGTGCTTGCTTGGACGACTCGGAGGACTTGTGACTCTCAGCTCTTGATGGAGATCGGTCGCTCGTGACAAGCGCCTTGCTAACCTCGTCCTCATCATCCGAGCCAGCGAAAAACACGAGAGGTTTAGTTTCCATCGGAGGGTGCAGAGAATCATCCAACCCCGAACGCGAGCAGTGCTTAGTAGCAGCAACGGGACGCGTCTGGTCCCGCCACCAGCGCGTCCAAGGCGACAAACAATGGTAAACACCGGATTCGCCACATTTCTGCTGAAGGCTTGGTCTCGGCGGCAGGTGCGCGTGCGCAAGCATCCTCAACAATATGCAGCGAGCTCTTCCCATGGTGAGTACTCGTGCATACGACTATCGTGATGATTGTGCTCATACCTTGCTAGCAACCCACCG